TCTTTCTTTCTTTCTTTCTTTCTTTCTTTCTTTCTTTCTTTCTTTCTCTTTCTTTCTCTTTCTCTCTTTCTTTCTCTCTTTCTCTTTCTTTCTCTCTTTCTTTCTTTCTCTCTCTTTCTCTCTCTCTTTCTTTCTCTCTTTCTTTCTTTCTTTCTTTCTTTCTTTCTCTCTTTCTTTCTTCTTTGTCAGAGATTATTTTTGCTTTTTTTGTGTTTTCTTCCTTTCTAAATGCTCCAGGGTTTCGCTTTTTGGTCATTACCTTTTTGCTTAAAGCTCTTCCTATTCCATTGTTAGGGTTGTGTGCTGGCCACAAGGTCGTAGCTTCCTTTTATTTAAAGATATTTTGATTCCTCTTCATTCCCAAAGTATATTCTGGGTTGAGGTTTGTTTGCTTATTTTGTTTTGTTTTCTTCCCAGTGTTGTGTTTATATTTGAGCTCTGAACTCTCTAAATAATCCAATTCCTTCTTTTTACTCAGAGTTTATTTCAAAGTTATGTTCAGAATTGTATTTGTTGCTGTGTGGAATAGTTAGGATTATGTCTTTTCTATCTTTTTCAAAGTGGTGTTGTATTAAGGGTTTGTAAAGGTTGAGGTGAATTTTGTAAAAGTTTTGGTGTAATACGTGGGACAGGGTGAATTTTTAATATTAATTGCTATTATCACAACTTATTATTGAGTTCATATTCAACTCAGCTAATTTTGAATTGAGCATTTGTCTAGCCCCAGGACTTGCTGTAGTAAGAATTAGCAGTAGTCTTCTTTTGGGTGGGAGAGGATCTTTGTTCTGTCATATTTGGTGAGGTCTCCAGTCAGGTTATTGGTAGAGCTTTTGGCTTGGAAAGTGCTAAGAACCTGACTCTGGCTTTCATTCATTACTGTTCTCCCAGGTCCTTAAGATTTAGTTTTATTTCAGTGCCTTTTGGATGTCCTTTTTCCCCAAGTCATTTTCAAATCTTCCCAACTGGAAATTCATTTTTGTTTTTTCTTGTGCCTAATATGACTTTGTTAAATGTTTTGCTAATATAACACATAATATGTGTCATTAGAATTGCTTATTAAGTAAAATGGAGCTAGTGTACTCTGTTCTTTCAAGTGAGTGAATGCTTGTTTGTCGTGTGGGTCTTTCCCAGCTATTTACAGACTACATTTTGTGGCTGGAAGGGAATGCCCAGGGTCATAAGCTACAGAGCTGCAAGAACCTGAGCGCTGTGTAATTTAGAGCCATGGTTCTTCACCTTTTGGGTCACACCCCTTTGAGGGTCGGACAACCCTTTCACAGGGCTCACATATCAGATATCCCACATATTACGTTTTTATATTGCAGTTGATAACTAGCAAAATCAGAGTTATGAAGTAGCAATGAGGATAATTTTCTCTTGGGCCTCCACGGCGTGAGGAACTGTGGTAAAGTGCTGCAGCATTAGGAAGGGTGAGCACCTTCCTTTAGGGCATTGTGGGGCATGCGTGACATCCAGTGCCAGTTATTTACACATGGGTTGTGCATCCTTGATGCCACAATGTATTCAAAACGTCTTTTAGTGGACTATAAATATCCTCGAGGCTCTATTTTAAACTACCCTATCTGTAAAGAAAGGATTGCACTCCCTTAGGAATGTGTTGTCCTTTGAAGGAGTGTCAGTAGAGGGCGCCAAGAGTTCCTTTACTTTAGTGCTTGTTTTGTTTTTGTGACATTGTCAACCATCAGAATGCCAGTCTGTCTTATGGGCAATGATCTTTGAGTTGTCTTTCCAAAGCCCAGAAGAGTGCAGGACACAGTAGGTTCTCAATTACTATTTGTTAACTATATATAGAGTTCCTTGGGAATGAAAAAGCTTAGTCAGTAGTTGTAACAATGAAGGTATCTTAACGTCTGAAGCAGAAAGTGAATTTGATCTATAGGCTCAAGCATTTAATGTTTTCTGAGGCTGGGGAAATGGTTCAGTTAGTCAAGTGCTTGCTCTGAACCTGAGAGGATTCCCAGCATACAAGAAAAAACCTGGGCATTCATCTGCACAACAGATTACATATATACACGCACACACAAAGCATTTATTGATTTTTGTTGAGAAAGTGTTCCACTATGTAGCTCAGGCTGGCCTCAAAACTGATGATTTTCTTGTCTCAGGCTCTTGAATGCTGAAATTACAGGTGTGTGCCATGTGTACAGCTGAGTTTTATCTTCTAAAAGCTCTATGTGAAGGAGATCAGAGGACATCTTGGAGGGATAAGCTGTCAGCTTAGCTGGAGCAAGAATTTCTGGGTTCTTTTCATGCCCCTCTGCGCCATCTTGCCATGGGTGTGCTGGGCTTACAGGTGCAGACCATCAATCCAGCTCTTCATGTGGTCACTGTCAGTCTTGGCGGCAAGTGCTTTGGCCTCCTGAGCTCTCAGGTCTAGTGCTGCCGTTTGACTTGCTTGCTGTGTGGTGGTGTTGGTCCATTCTGACACCACTGTTTCCCTTTCCCATGACACATATTGTGAAGTGTTTTAAAACGTACTGATGTTTAACATCTTTGGTATTTCCTGGGTATAAATTTCATATGTGCTAATAGAACCATAGTTGACTTAGGATTTGGATAATGAATATAAACCTGGTTTTTAAAATGAAATAAGAAAACTAAAATATGGTAAACATGAGACAGATTCTAGGGACTACAAGTTACTTTTATTTTATTTGTTTTATTTTACTTGGGTTTTTGACCAGGGTCTCACTGTGTAGCCCTGGCTGTCCTGGAACTCAATATGTAGACCAGGCTGGCCTCAGATAATCTGCCTGCCTCTGCCTCTCCAGTGCTGAGTTTCAAGGTATGAATCACCATACTGGTCTGGATTAAAATTTCTTAAAACACAAAATTTGGCTTCCTTCTTTGAGTAACTTGTTTTGTGTGGAACATTTTTGTTTGTTGTCAGTGTACTACCTTGGAACAAAAACTGAAGCATTTGACTGAGGAATTGAGTTGTCAGCGACAGAATGCAGAAAGTGCCAAACGTTCTCTGGAACAGAAAGTCAAGGAGAAAGAAAAGGAGCTTCAGGAGGTGAGGTGAATGGGTTCACAAAGGGCTTTTTATGAGAAAGACCTGTTTTTGCAATTTGGAAGGAAGAACTGTTTGTCACCACTGAGAACATTATGGAGTAGACATGCTTTGTGAGCACAAGGCCACTGCACTTTCTGTCACATTTGCACTTTTGTACTTTTCCCGTCACTTACTTTTTGATTCGCTTTTCTTAATGGTGGTGAGATTTGAGGCTGAGTTGGAAAGGAGCATCTCTGAGCACTCTCTCCACAGTGAGAGGAGAGATTCATGTTGTTCAGTTGTCTCTTAAGGCTGTGAGTTGGTTAATCACCTCATGAGGTATCTGAAGAGGTCAGGGAGCCAAAGGTGGGCTGGTATTTTGCCAGTGTGAATTGTTAGGTACTTCAGTCTGAGCATACATGTTAATTTGACATCGCCCTGGTTGTGAAAGTTAACTAGGAACATTTACTTCTTTTTTTCAAGTGAAGACCATGGTAAGTGGTGTATGACTGATTAGTTAAGCCCCCTTTTCTTTTCTTTCTCTCTTTTTGGACATGAGCTTATTTAAGCCCAGGTTCCTTGAACTCCTGATCCTTTTGCTTCCATTGCCCAAGTGCTGGACTAGGGGTGTGTGTGTGTGTGTGTGTTTGTGAGACCATGCTCAGCTCCTATACCCATTTTTTAAAAAAGTGTATGGTCTATGTGTGTATGGGCACGTGTGAGTGCGGGTGCACATGTGTGGGCATGAGTGAGGAGGCTTGAAGCTGGTGATGGGTGTCTTCTTCAGGGGCTCTCCTTCTTATTTTTCAGAGGCAGGCTCTCTCTGTTGAGCCCAGAGCTAGCCGATGCGTTCCAGCTAACCAGCTTGCCCTGGGAATCTACTTCCTCTGCCTCTTGAGTGCTGAGATTACAGGTGGCTGTATGCCTGCCTGGCTTTTTTGGGGTTCTTGGGGTTCACACTTTGGTGCTCATACTTAGATGGCCAGCATTTTCTATACTGAGCTATCTTTCTACCTCCTAAGCCAAATTTTTAGTGTGTTTCTGTGCTAGGTTATGTTGATTTCAGCTCAGCTACTCTTTCCTGCCCTCCATCCTTCAACATTGAGATGACTGAGATAGGTGATAGGCCCTCGGAGACCTGGGCATCCAGGATGGTTGTATGTGCATTCAGCAGATGGTCGGCATGACTCCCTGTCCCTCTCAGACTTTGCAGGGAGCCTTGTCTGGTAGAGTGTGTGCTGCACCTGGGATGGTCTTTGTCCATGCTTTCTTGACCTGATGGTTTGCTTTTCAGGAGCTGTCCCGACAGCATCGATCTTTCCAAGCTCTGGACCATGAGTACACTCAGATGAAAACCAGACTTACTCAGGAGTTACAGCAAGCCAAACATTCAGTCAGTGTCCTCCAGCTGGAACTGGAGAAGGTAGGCCACTGAACCTAGTTTTCACGGTCTGCACACATACTCTGTCTGTGTCTCAGCTGACCTAGTGGTTTTAACTGATAGTTAAAAGCACACACACAAAAAGTGATGTTTGATACATACTTTTTGAAAAATGTAATATTTCAGGATAAATATGTTCATCTTAAACATTTATCTTTTTTTTTTTTTGGTAAAAACTAAAATCCTTTGTTACAGCACTTGTGCAGGAAGACCGTAACTGTTGTATGTGGTCATGCTACTGAGCAGAAGCACACTAGGCCCTGCTCCTGTCCTGTAGTCACTAGAACCTAAGACTCATTCTCCTCTTGCTCTCCTCAGTCTCTGAGACAACTGTTCATCCCAGTACCTGTGGGATCAGCTTTTCTCTACTGCAAATATGGAACCAGCTTCATAAATGCTTCTCATTAAATGCTCTGTCCCTTTCAAAGCGGAAACAACCTTTATGGCTCACTTTCCTCAGAAAAGGGGTAAAAAGGCTGGGTTTTCAGGTCTGAATATCAGTGAAAGTCTGTGGTATTCTGGTCACTATGTGGTATATAAAAAGGGATGTGGGGTTGTCCTGAGTAGTTTCTTCCTCAGCTCATTAGAGCTCAGGTAGTTGCCTGTAGGCTTAAGACTCTCAGAGTGGTGTACCCAGGTTCCTGGCTTGGCGTGTACCTATGTTATGGTAGATCTTGAATTATGTCTTCAGCCTGGAGGTGTCTTCTAAACCGAGGGCATTCTACCTGTGTGGGTCCCTGGTGAGTTAATCATAGGGCTTCAGCTGTTGTTGTGAAGATAAGTCCCTCTTTAGGCCTCTACATCCCACTAAACAGGAGTTACAGTCTTTCCAGTGGCCAGGCCAGCACTTTGAGGGCATCTGCACTTCTTGTTTCACATCTCAGTCCATCAAAGCTGCTGAGTTTACCTCTGTGGATGCACATGTTTGTATATGTAATGTGCGTGTCTGTATTTCCGTGTAAATGATAGTAAATTTAGTTTTTTTAGTTTAATACTTTTTATTCTTTGAAAAATTTAAAAATACATGTAATGTGTTTTGATCATATTTACCTCCTTTCTGTTCTTAATGTTTTTCAGATCTACACTCCCAACTTCATATCCTGTGTTTTGTGTTCTATAATCCCTGAGTCCAGTTTGTACTGTTCATGTACTCATGGGTATGGGGCCATCCAGTGGAGCTTGGCTGGCCTACCCTTAAAGAAAACTGACTGTTCCTCTCCCAGCAGCCATCAGTTGTCTGTTGCTTCTCAGGGGTGGGAGGTAGCAAGCACCTCCTCCCCAGTCCATGCTGGAGCATTGAACAATTTGATCTTGTGCAGGTCTTGAGCATGCAGCCATAGTTGCTCTAAGTTCATGACTACAATAGTCCTGTCATGTCCAGAAGACATATTTCACCATGCTTATCTCCACCCTTTGTTCTTACAGATTTTACACCATGTGGTCTTGTCACTATTACCTATGAGGGTCATCATCCACCCCAGAAACCTTCCCATGTGCCTTTCCTCCGAGCTAAGAATGAATTTGACTTTTCTGTCTGTGTTTACGCACTATGTTTTAACTATGTCCATTGCTACGTTCAGAGCCCCGTTACCATTCTCAGTTGCCATGCCAGCCTCCTGTCTCCCCTTAACCCCCCACCTGTGTTTGTTTCTTAACAGCCTGTTTTCAGTCAGTAACCAAAGCAAAGCTACCATCACATCAGTCAGATCCATAGCTCTTCTGCTCAAAACCATGTAGTCACTCCTGCCCCCTTACTAGGCCAGCTATCTCTTAGGTGGCAGACCCAGGTGGCTACCCTGGTTCCCTGTGAAGTTCATCTTTTGCCCTTCCCTCACACACTTCATTTTTGCCACATGGTCCCTGGCTCTTGGCTAGCTATACTTAGTGGGACAACCTCAGGCCTTGATTATAGTGCTACTCTTGGGGAGCTGTTTGCTCATGGGTTGAGAGGCAGGAACCTCCACTGCAGTCTGTATTCTTGGTTGCCACATATATCCCCAATCTCTGTCTTCGCTGGTGTGTTTAATTTCTTTCTGTAGTGTGAACATTTGGGTGTGTCCCTGACTTATTTGTGTACTGTGTAGTTAGGCCTATGATGTTCTGAAAACATATGGACTTTTTTTTCTTGTCATCATTTCTAAAAAATAAAGTAACTGCTTATGTAGATCCTGTGGGCCCATAGAGATGCTGCGAAGTGCACAGGAGGATGTGCCCAGGCAAACCCCACAGCCCTGTAGCATATAGTGAGGGCTGTGATGCCCTTGAGCTTCTGGAATCGGGTGTAATGACTCCTGCCTTTCTCTTCTAGCTCAGCTTTTTTGTTTTTCTCATTTTTAAATTTAAGAGCAGTTGATTATTCACAGAGAACATGAATTCAAAACTTATTTATTTTCTTCTCTTTTTGTAGGTCACGTCAATGAAACAACAGTTAGAAAGAAGTTTGGAAGAAATTAGGCAAAAGTTCAACAGAACAGAACAAGCTCTTCAGGCGAGTCAGATCACAGAAAATGAGCTGAGGAGAAGCAGTGAGGTATGTGAGTGGGTGGGTCAAGGAACAGAACCCACATAGGATGAAGTATGACAACAAAAACAATGTCTTTCTTGGAAAAGTGTGTGTGTGTGTGCACATGTGTGTGCATGCACATATGGAATAAGCACATGGTCGCAGCATGATCATGGAGTTAAGAGTACAGCTTGGAGGCATTGGTTCTCCCTTTTCATCTTTATTTGGGTTCCCCGGATCAGACTCAAGAGAGCAGGCTTGGCGACAGGTACCTTTGCACACTGAGTCATCTCCCTGGTCTAAAAAGGGACTCTATCATTTCTTAGAAGTTTATATATGTATGTACCATATATATTTTTCTTTTCCAGATGTTAATGTGAAAGTGCTTTATGTATGTAGAATATGTCCTTATTCCCCCTTTTTATTTTGAAACTATTATTCATGTTTTTAGCAAATTTGTATTTTATGTGTATGTATTGTCTGTGCACCACATGTATGCTTGGTGTCCACAGAGGCCAGAAGAGAGGTGTCTGATCTAGAGTTGGAGTGAGCCTCTGTGTCCTCTGGAAGAGCAGCAGCCACTGCTCTTAGCCTCTGAGCAGTCTCTCCAGCACTGTAAACAAGTTTTAAAGCAGTGGTTCTTAATCTGTGGGTTGAGGTCCCTTTGGGGGTTGAATGATCCTTTCACAGGGTTGCATATCAGATATCCTATATATCAAATATTTACATTACAATGCATAACAGTAGCGAAATTACAGTAATGAAGTAGCAATGAAAATAATTTTATGGTTGGGGTCACCACAGCATGAGGAACTGTATTAAAAGGTCACAGCATTAGGAAGGTTGAGAATCACTGTTTTAAAGATTATTTTATACTACTTGAGAGATGGAATTATGAAACAAAGAAGTAATTGTTCAGAATATAAAGGGGATAAATGAAACTATTAATGTGGATTATTATTTAATTTATAGCTCTACCTTCTCATCTATCTACCTACCTGTGTGTGTCTATCTATCTGTCTGTCTGTCTGTCTGTCTATTTGGCAGAATCTCATTAAGTTGCCTAGGATGGCCTAAAGTCTACTAAGTAGCTAAGGCGAGCCTTAAATTCCTGATCCCAGTGCCCTTTCCTCCCAAGTGCTGGGATTACAGGCCTGTGCTGGCATGCACTTGCTTTTTTTGGTTTTGAGATACACTCTGGCTGTGTGTCCCAGGCTAGTATAGGGATTGCCTTGTCTCTACAATGCTGGGGTTTGAAAACATTTTGAAGATTAGTTTGAAACTACACAGTGTTAAAAACCCGTGGAAGCTGGGCGTGTTGGCACACACTTGTAATTCCAGCGCTCAGGAGGCATAGTTAGTCGGATGCAGATCTCTGAGTTGGAGGCCAGCCTGGTCTACAAAGTGACTCTCGAAAAACAAACAAACAAACAAACAAACAACACTCACAAACAACAACAAAAAAACCCGTTGATATCATAGACTTAAAGAAATGACCTTAGTTCATTCTCTGGCATTGCCTAAAATAAGTAAGTAAATGAGTCAATAACTAAGCAAAATCATGTAGTTATGAATGGTATTCCTCTTTAGAAGTGAGTGTTGACTTTAGGGTTTTGTGTGCTTCCTGGCCAGTGTTGCCTGTAGAGACTCCTGTTCTCCAGGCAGTGGGTGAGGGCTTTCGAGTGCATGGCTGTGGGAGTGTTCTGAGGGTTTTATTTCTACCCATGTCACTTTGGCTTCTCTGAACTTCCTTGGTGGCCTGCAGTTTGTTTTAAAGGGCTTAATTAAGAAGCATGTAGGAACAGCTGATGGATGGATTTGAGTAGAGGCACAAATTAAAGTACAGAAGACCAGTAGAGGTGGTTTCTCAGATACTACAGAAAAAAAAAAATGTTTTCCCACTATTGAGCTGTTTTGTCATCACTTTTCAGCCTGCTAACAATGAAAGAAAAACAATTTTGTCCCTAATGACAGTTCCTTATCTAGGTGATAAAGTCTAAATGTTTGCCCCTTTGGCATTTGATTGTAAATGAGAACACCTGTCATAGCAAAGAGGAAGTTATTTAAGCAGCCAGCAACAAAGGGGGAGTACTGCTGGAGATGGGGTGGGGACATTCAACTCCTGCACCCCAAGTGGAAACAGTCAGATCCTGTGATGGGCTCATCTGCAAACATTTTTAGTGTGTGTTTATTGCAGCAAAACAAATGTTTGTCTTTTGGCCAGTGGGGACCAACCAACAGATGCTTCTGCTAACATTTCCACAGGCGAACTGGCATGGAGCTCTTCCCTCTGTGAGCTTGCCTTTAGCCAGGAGATCTCTTGCGACTTGCCTGGATGCCTGTGGCAACATTCTGTAGAACTATCATCTGGTTCAGAGTCTAAATACCATTAGCATGACTTGCTGAGGCATTTTAATAGGCTGGATATGGTCTTGGAGGTGTTTCTGAAGACTTACTTTTATCCCCATGTAGTCTGGGTTGTGGTTCTCTCTCTAATTCCAGGATGCTCTGCATTTTACACCTACCATGTTCAAATGAACATAGTCGTGTGGAAAGCACTCAGCACATGACCAGAGATAGGAATTTACTATTCATCCTAATTTATGTTTATGTTTGCCTGAGGGTATTCTTTTGGGTATAAAGCAATAGGAGTTGAAAGGGCTTCTTGTGCTTTGAGCTGTGGTTGGGACCAGAGAAGTGACTTGTCAGAGTGCTGATGTAGCTTGGGGATTACAGTGGTGATGGCTCTAGTGGGAGCAATCTGGATGTGTGCTGGCTACCGTGTGACCTTGGAATGATCCCTTTCTATTCTGCAGTTGTAAATAATAGCCTTCCCTTTCAAGACTGTATTCATGATTAAGTCCACTGTTTCATATAAAGTGTGGCTTGGTGCACAGCATGTTAAGTGTCTAGTAAGTAAATCATGGAAGTTCAGTATTGTTTTTGTTTCGCAAATCTTAATGATCTTTGATGTTAGAATTATTTGTGGTTATATGCCAGCCCTTTAAGGATCATGGCCAGGACACAGTGCATTTGAGACTTTTCATATTTCATTATCTGCTGTCTTTCTGTATCTAATTATAAGTAAGCACAAACAAGTTCAATGTGCTTATAGGTTCTGGATGCTGAAATGATGTGACAGCTGTATTGAAATTTTTCTTGACTGTGTTTAGTAAACTAATATCCTTCTTGCAATTAGAAATTATCAGTGCTGGAAAATGTGATTTAATGGCCCAATCAAGGGTAAAGTTAGCATTTAGTATCAAAGTGATGGGAGGATTGGTTAGATAAGCTGTTCACTTCGTTTAAAGTGCCAGCCTCCATCGCACTGTGGTTTGGCAGTAAAATTCCATCATTGACAGGCAGGATGAGGAAACACTTGCTTGGGGACCTTGCTAGGCATAGGGATCTGTATTATATTAGGCCCTCTAAGGAATGTGGTCTGGCAGGCAAGAATGACAAAGTAGAAGGGAGAAAGCACATCTTTTGCATCCATTCCATCCCCACATAGATAGCCTTCACCCAGCAGGGGACATATTACGCTGTGCTCATGGATGGGATCATGAAATGCACACACTAACTGCAGTTTGATTTGTCTGGCCCTAGGAAGTGATGCTTCCCTCGCCGCTCCTAAACTGAGCTGCTCTGGGTAGGATTGCCTGCTAAGCTCTAGCGCTGGCGTGTGGTAGATATTACTGTTTTTCCAGAGTAGTGCCCAATTTTGCAAATCATGTGAGGACGCAAGTGATGCCTAGGAGAATATATCCTTGTATGCTTAACTCATTGTTGCTAATGAGCTACCCAATCAAGACTTAAGTGGCTGTAGCCTCATGGAAAACTAATTGCTGATGGATGGCAGCCTGTGCATTCATTTTCAGATGTTCATTTTCTAAATTCTGGCCTCTTAAAATTCTTGGGTTGGTTGCAGTCATGGCATTATAAGCCTGCTGGGTCCCAGTATTGGTTGAACATTCCTTTGTTAGTAACAAATATTTACAAAGCTTATGCCAAAATGGAGAAAGACACCCTAATTTTTCATTGAGCTTGGTATTTTCTTAAATGTCTGCAGTTATGGACTAAGACACAGAGAGATCAACAGGCATGCACACATAACAAAAACCCCTCCCCTTTGTGGTACCTGCTTTCTCCAGCTCCCCTCCGCCCTGTAAACGTTCTTTCCTATGGAGGTGCGCTCTGTGTATCATGCATTGCCTTCCCAGCTTCCTTCTCAGGGCCAAGGTTTGGTTTGATGTTTTTTATTTTTTTATATTAGTAAGAATAATTTGTAAATCATAAAAGTAGTAAGTCAATTCATGATTCCTTTCTGGTGATCTTCCAACTGTTACACTTGGGGAAGAAATACTAATGCTGGTGCCCCATTACACTTGTCAAGGTGCTCAACATGCTCTGTCTTTCATCTGTGATCTCACTAGGTGGTGATTATTCTTAGCCTGAAGAACAAACAAGTGATTACATTTCTCTAGTTTATTAATGCTAATTTTAATCAGTTATATTGTTTTACCTTCATGATTTTTTTCTTCCAAGCTTGAATACTGACTAGAATGCAGGTTAACCTCTCAGTCTTGAGATTTATTGCAGCTGTCCTTTGATTCTTATTGATATCTTAATTTCATAGTCAGTTTCCTGGTGCAAGCAAGACAGGATCAGAACACAGGAGACAAGAGTGTAATATTGACAACAGGCTCTGTCTCATTTTAATGATGAAATGAATGTATATACATGAACACAACAGCTGCCAGCAAGTTTTCAAGTACTTCCTAGTAGCCAGATTCTCCCTCTTCTTGAATTTGGCTTTGTTACATGGGTACCCATCTGCTGGTAGTAAGCAGACTGATAATTGAAGGCAGTCTTCCAACATAGCATCGCCAGGGCCATCTGTTTTCTAACAGTGCAGTGGGGTTTTGGAGGATGGGTCTTAATTGTTTCTTTAAGATTCAAAAAATGACTTCCTACTCCTCTGAAGGATATTTTTGAAATGAAACTTTAAAAAATGCCTTGTGGATTTCTTTCATTCCCTAAGATATGAGATACTTAAGTTCTTTCAGTTGGTGGTGATATGCCAATTCTTGGGGGTAGGCTAATATAATAATATAATAATATAGATAAAAGGGTGTACCTTTCAGGAAAAAAAATTAAAAGTTTTAATTCTAATGTTCAGGAGGCAGAGGCAGGTAGATATTCAGTGTGAGGCTAGCCTGGTCTACAAAATGAGACTCTTTGTCCAAAAACAAACAAAAGGGCTGGAAAGATAGCTCAATGAATAGAGCTACTTAAATTAGTGTGCCAAACTCAAAGACCTTGATCCCTGCAGCCCTCCTGGTAGAATAAGAGAACTAACTACCCCAAGATGTTCTGTGTTGTCCACATATGTGCCATAGCATGTCCTGCCTCCTCAGTGTGCATGCATGTGTGTGTATGTGTGTGTGTATACATGCACAGTTAATAAAGATTATAATAGTAAAGAAAACCTAAAGGAAACATGTTTCAGTGTGCTGAAGTGTTTTTAATATGTGTTGTGTCAGTCTTAGGTTGTTAAGGAGGAACAATAGCGTTTTTATTTGGTGTCTCATTTGCATGGTTTAGTTTAAGATTTCCCAACACAGGAGAATGAAATTGCACATTTACATATGTATCTGTGTTACTTTGCTGTACACATCCCTGTGTGGATGAATATTTAATAATGGACCCAACGAACCTGTGAGTGCTCAGACTCCCTCATCCACGATGAATTCTGTGCTCGCCTTTGATATCATATATATTAGGCAGTGTCTTTTGAGTAGTTAGCTCTGTTAGGTGTGTACTGAGTGATTAGGACCACACCTTACGCCATGGAGGGTAATACTGGTGAAGGCAGAGATGCTACTTTATTTATAAGCGCATTTTTCATAATATACACTCCTGTATGCATACATGGGCTGTAGTCTTTGTTGATGAACACATTTGTTGAAGGGAATTTCGTCTATAAGGACATTCTTGTGTTAGTAACCTTGCACTAGTTTTGCTGTGAAGAGCAAACATTTGTTCTTGGAGCATTGTGATTTAGTTTCACCTCATTTCTTTGCGAAGATATTTTTTACTAATCTGGTTTGATAGGAATCTGAAACTGTTGTCTTTAATTATCTTGTGAATAGGCTTTTTCTTCTGAGCTACCTCTTTAACAAATAGAAAGTTTGAAGAAATATATTTCCTAAAGATATAATTCTTAGATGTGGGACCTGCTTTTAGGATGTGATTTGATTCAGATAAGATGATACTTTAATTAGATATTGGAAAGTTCATTCCTGACTGAGATACAGACAGGTCTGTTAAGGACCTTTATTAAGGCAGAAATTGTGACTCACTTGAGCATTTGTTTAGGTTAAAACAAACTAAATGTGTTTTTAGGAAGTGAAGAAGGAAAACAGTCTCATTAGAAGTCAGTCTGAGCAAAGGACCAGAGAAGTCTGCCACCTGGAGGAAGAACTTTGTAAAGTCAAAGCATGTTTGAGTGAGAGCCAGAATTTCGCAGAAGAAATGAGAGGTGAGTGCAGTAGCTTTAGAGGTTTTTTAAGTCTTTTACATTTATTTACTTATTTTGTTTGTCTGTGTGAATATGTCATGGTGTGTGTGTGTGTGTGTGTGTGTGTGTGTGTGTGTGTGTGTGTGT